ATCTGCCACCCAGGGAGCGGGCCTAAGCCAGCAGGTGGTTATCTCCCAAGGGGTCCCAGACTGTGAGAGGGCACAAGTGGAGCTGAGGGACACTCCCCCCCTGCCAGTGCACAAATTTTTGTGCACTGGGCCTCTAGTCTATATAATAAAAGCCTAAGCGATCGTTACGGTGGAACGACCAGAACAACCATTTGCTATGATGCACACTGACCATCAGGGGGCAGATGCTCAATGCAGGAGCTGCCCCCTGGTGGTCAGTGCACTCCCACAGGGGGAACACTGCTCCGCCAGAAGCCTTGCTCATGGCTGGCAAGCACAGTGGCGGTGGTGGGAGCCTCTCCAACCTCCACAGCAGTGCTAAGGAACAGGGAGCTGAGCAGTAAGGAGCAGCGAGCAGGCGGGAGGAAAGGAATGAGGGATCCTGGACTGCAAGAGGGTGCAGGCCAGGATGAGGGAACCCCCCCAGTGCATGAATTTTATGCACTGGGCCTCTAGTCTTTAAAATAATCATTGTGATACCTGCCTCACAAGGTTGTCATAAAAATCACATGAGGTGAATAAAGTCTCATATTTTCCTACCACCTTTGCCTTATCTTTTATCAGAGTCTTTTGCCAAAACTGTTCAACATTACTACTTAATCAGCATGTCTTAGGTACCCTATTTCCCAAGAAGTTGTTTCTATATCAAGTAACATGTCAGGACACAGACCATCATTTACTCCAACTAGTCAAATAAATGTCAAAGCCAAAACGAAGAGCAAAAGTCCACATCCCTACCCACCACTATCACTTTCTCTATGTTTCCTCTCTGTTAAACCTATTACTTGACTCAGAATTTCATCAATAAGGTATCTGAAGAGGAAGGAAAGACAGCAACAAAAACCTGGTAACACCTTCCATCTGTCCTAGGGGTTCTCTGGTCAAAAGCTGTGTAGTTTGTGCTTTCTCAAACAAAAACATGTTGCCTGTTTTTGTTTTTTTTTTAAAATGTTTTCTTGTTGTTGTTTTTTTATTTTATTTTATTGCTTAAAGTATTACAAAAAGTAGTACATATGTTTCCTTTTTTTCCCCATTGACCTTCCCCCGGCCTCCCCTACCCCGAAGTATCTTGCATCCATTGGTTATGCTTATATGCATACATACAAATCCTTCGGTTGATCTCTTTCCTCCCTCCCCAACTCTCCCCAGCCTTCCCACTGTAGTTTGACAGTCTGTTCAATGCTGCTCTGCCTTCTGTATCTATTTTTGTTCTTCAGTTTATAATGTTCTTTATTATCCATGAATGTGTGAGATCATGTGGTATTTTTCCTTCATTGCCTGGCTTATTTCACTTAGCATAATGCTCTCCAGCTCCATCCTTGCTGTTGCAAATGGTAAGAATTCCTTCTTTTTTACAGCAGCATAGTATTCCATTGTGTAGATCAGGGGTCCTCAAACTACGGCCCACTGGCCACATGCAAATACAAATATTGTATTTGTTCCCGTTTTGTTTTTTTACTTCAAAATAAGATATGTGCAGTGTGCATAGGAATTTGTTCATAGTTTTTTTTAAACTATAGTCCGAGGCAGCTCTGCCTCTGTATCTATTATTGTTCAAAAGTTTGTAATGGTCTTTATTATCCATGAATGAGTGAGATCATGTGGTATTTTTCCTTCATTGACTGGCTTATTTCACTTAGCATAATGCTCTCCAGTTCCATCCATGCTGTTGCAAATGGTAAGAGTTCCTTCTTTTTTACAGCAGCATAGTATTCCATCGTGTAGATGTACCACAGTTTTCTAATCCATTCATCTACTGATGGGCACTTAGGCTGTTTCCAGATCTTAGCTATGGTGAATTGTGCTGCTATGAACATATGGGTGCATATATCCTTTCTGATTGGTGTTTTTGGTTTCTTGGGATATATTCCTAGAAGTGGGATCACAGGGTCAAATGGGAGTTCCATGTTTTGTTTTTTGAGGAAACTCCATACTGTCTTCCATAGTGGCTGCACCAGTCTGCATTCCCACCAGCAGTGCACAAGTGTTCCTTTTTCTCCACATCCTCTCCAGCACTTGTCGTTTGTTGATTTGTTGATGATAGCCATTCTGACAGGTGTGAGATGGTACCTCATTGTTGTTTTGATTTGCATCTCTCGGATGATTAGTGACTTTGAGCATGTTTTCATATGTCTCTTGGCTTTCTGAATGTCCTCTTTTGAAAAGTGTCTATTTAGGTCCTTTGCTCATTTTTTAATTGGATTGTTTATCTTCCTTTTGTTAAGTTGTATGAGTTCCCTGTAGATGTTGGAGATTAAACCCTTATCGGTGATAACATTGGCGAATATGTTCTCCCATGCAGTGGGCTTTCTTTTTGTTTTGTTGTGTTGTTGTTTTTTACTATGTTTCCAACTAATGCCTTAGTGATATCATCTTGTTAGTTAAACTCAATTCATAGTTTTTTTAGGACAAAATAATATCTCTGCTCATGGCAGATAGGGAACTAAATAAGGTAAAGGGCTAGCCACCAGCCATGATATCTTTCCCCGTGTCCTTACAGAGTGGCCTGATGAAGCTTTGTTTTCTCCTCTTATTGCAGTGCACACTTGCCTCTCATGTCCATTTGTGTCCAAAGAAATTGTTGATCTGCAGACATGGGGTGAGGTTGGGAGCAGGGGCATATGTCTGCAGTCTCTGCATTGGCTCCCTACACTATCCTCTGACAACTTGAAAATAAATATGGAGACCACTTTTTGTTCCTAAAAGAATCAGATCATTAGTCTGATTTAAGCACCCATACAGACAGGGATACATAGCCCTGCATTATGGCTATGATACATGATTAAGGAATAACTAAGGTTTCTCCTTTTAACCTGCACATACTCTAGTAGAGTAAATAGAAAAGCAGCATAGCAGCACAGCCTACCAGAAGTAGCCCACCATCCCCAAAGGGAAAATAGCTCCAAATAAAAATCTAGGAGGAAGAGGTCAAGAGAAAATAAATAACCCACTTGGGGTCACCCAGATAGTTCAAAGTAGAGGATCATCTAATCCCACCCCATTATCCTCTTCATTTTAAAGATGTGTGTGTGTGTGTGGGGGGGGGAAACTGAGGTTTAGAGTGAGAAAGTGA